TTTCCAAAAGACATAATGTGAAAAGACCAGCCATCCACTGGAAAAATGTATTTTCCACACATGACAATGAATTATTTTCCATAACATATAAAGAACTTCTACAAATTTATAAAGAGGAAAATTTATTAGAAGATGGGTAAAATAATTATAGATATTTCACAACAGAAGATACACAGATGTCTAATAAATGTGCAAAATGCTTAAAATCATAAATAGTAAGGGAAATGCAAATTAAGGTCATGTTGTAGCAATATTTTATACCCACTAGAGTTGCAAAACTAAAGTTTGCCAGTACCAAGTGCTGGTGAAGATGTAGATGATTAAGATTTTTTTTCAAAAAGTCCAAAAACACTTATGAAGTTTTATTGAAAATAACAATACACAGAAACACCAGATTCTCATTTTAAAGTAAAATTGACCGCATTTTCCAGAATGTTCCTAGTACTTTGCCATTCTTACCACTACTAGAAAACAAAACCAAGATCCCAAATAATTAATGAATTTTGCTGGAAAATATTCTTATGATTCTAGTTCTTTTTCTAAATTTTACACTTGTATCTTTTCAATAATGCAGGTTTTTAAAATATTTGACTGATTAATATTTGTGAGAACTGGACTTACTTTCTTCATATGAACACACACATACACACCCCCTATGCAAATGCAGAGAAAATACACATTTGTTCATTAAAACTTACCTGCTTTAGATAATTTTTTTCTCTTCATACATCAGCATATAAGGCCAATGTTTGATCCATGCTGCAAAACTGTACAGAATGAAAATACCTGTTTTTCCCCTAGGGAAACCTTAAGGCAAAAGCAAAAGCCTTGTGCTACAAAAGAAAAACAAAGCAGAGCATGAGGGCTGTGGAGACAACTCAGATGAATTAAGTACCACAAAGATGAAGATAATTTTTGTGCAAACATATAAGTTTAAAAAGGAGCATTAAACATCTATTTTCCTACAGAAATTATTATGCCAGATAGCTTCATTCCTAAAACAAGTTGTTTAGATTTTAATTAACAAACTCTTAATTCTCTCCTATGTTAACCAATGGTATCAGAGCCTTGTTTGGGGGCTCTTCTTGTCTTCTTTTCGTCACACAGACCTTTGATCAAAGGCCTGTCCAATAATTCCTGTAGAAGATAATCAGTATTTGGTGCTTCTGGGAAAGCTGTTACCTCCCCTTTGACCCTAATACTGGGACTAACTCCAAATTCTGGGGAGCGGCTTCATGTTTTTAGGTTGTACTACAACAAATTTTTTTAGCATGGAGTTTTCTTTAAGGCTACAAACTTTACCAGTTGATCTCATTAAACAATGGCCTAAAGGCAAGAGTTCTACAAATAGCATGAATCAAACACTTGCAGACTTCAACAGAACACAGTTTACATTCATCTCTAAACCTGAAATTTAAGAAACAATTAGTTGGTTTCCAACTTGTTTCCATGCTGGTTTAAAGTTTGAATAATTTTACATTAAATATTTTGTTTAAATATTAAACATTAAATCTTTTTTTTTAAATATCCAGACAGAAATAGAGAAAGCAGGAACAAAAGACAAAAGAAGAAACAGTCCAATAAATAGACTTGTGACTTCTATGCCATCTGTAACAAGGGGAGAGATTTCAGTGTGTATTTCAAAATGCCTGGGAGCTAGTATCTAAAAAGTTACCTCTATACTTGGCATAAATCAATTTTTACACACCTACAAAGAGGTAAGAAACCCAGAAAACAAAAAGAACTGGGATGATCTGTTGTGTGAGGAAAGGGCCAATATTAGACTGTTAGGTTCATTTAATAAGTTAGAGTGAATATTCTGCAGCATTAAAGAAATTGTCATTTCACTTAGCATGACTGAGTCCTTGCCACACAGATTTCTTCCTGAGAAGTAAAAAATTTCTATTTTAATTATCCCCAAATAATACCTTGAGCTGGTTTAAGTCCACAGGAGGAAGACTTGCTGCTAGGAGGAAGCACCAAATTGGTTATTTCAGTAAATCTCAACATCACTTGCTCATATGTTCTCAGTTAATTATTCATCTTTGTTTTCTCAATTAACATTAAAAACTCAACTTGTTAATACAGGTACAACCTTTTTTAAATTACCAGTTATCAATACACAGCAGTTCCTTGGTATTACCGAAGAGATGCTTCTCCCATAGCCAATTTACACATGGGTTACCTCAAAATCTTTTAAATTATCATTCAAAGTTAATCAAGTTGTAAATGTTACTGAATAGCTTGGCTTATCAGTTATGCAAGGGGATCCAAGGAACAACAGTAGCACAAAGCAAAAAAACCTCAGAGGAAAATGCTTTCTTTGTATTTTCATTGCATTTTCAGAGGCAAAGAGATGAGCCACAATGCTACTAGCTTTTAATCAATTAAGCTACATTAAAATGATAACTAATGTACAAGTTTCAGAGCCTCTATTAACTTTCTTAGGAATAGACTTAAGCTGCTGCTTTCTTCGCTCCTCCCCAATCATAAATAGTCACCACTGTAAACAGCGCTCACTTCTGCAGATGTTGTGATTCAGTTGTCAGGGTACAGTTGTAGTAGCACTATCCTTTTTTAATGCATCTTTTTCAACTCAAGTGTCTGAGTATTCTCCAACTATTTGAATGATTTACAATGTATCATGATTTAAGTCACACTTACACATATACTTGCCTTTACAGACTGTAATCTTACAATAATAACCCCTCTAGAAAACATCTTTTCCCTTGAGGCAAGCAAACTCCCTTGGCAAAAGTTGAATTTAAGAAATGGCTACCCAAAATGTGAGTCCCGCCCCCAAGTCACAGGCAGAGAGATTCTTCTTGCACCCGTTTCATAAAACTTTCAAGTCTCTATGCTATATAAGTAGGCTCATCACTAAACACATGAGCCTTCTAAAATTTGACCACTTTAGTGTAGAAACAGGTTTCTAGAGTTCCAGTTTTTGGGTTGTTTTTTTTTTCCGTGCAAGCAGCTGTCTCCAAACTGTTGTAAATAGGCATCCATGCTTGCTGAGGTTCCAAAAACAGTTCAGTTCTAGGGAAGGAAGTGCCAGCCCTGGCATGCTTGGTTTGGCTCTCTCCTGTGTGGTTCTTAACATTAGATGAAGGAGCGCAGGGAGAGATTTCCAGAGCACAAGGTCCATGGAAGGACGGCTCACAGATTCAATCATTTTCTTTGTAAAGACTTCATCAAATTCCCTCTTCAAACCTGTTTTCATGGCATCAGAAAGGACAAGACTGAGGAAATGGTTAGTATTTCTGTCAACTTTAACTTCTCCCTCATCAGTTATCCTGCCCTCAATTTCCCGAAGCCTCCTCACCACTTCACACTGCAGTTCTCCAGTCTTTGGGACCAGCACAGAGCCCTGCTTCAGTTAGCTTTTTCTTTATTATCGGACAATCATTGTCCTGCTCTAGCCTGTGTTTCTTACTACAGGGAACTGAAAGGTCCACGTTCCATGCTCCCACCCGGGATGCTCAGGAAAACGCAGCATCCATCCCATGGGAAATGCCTGGCCCAAGAAGGCTGGAGGCAGCTGCAAGAAGGTGAAGCTGGGCCACCTTCAAGAGGGAGGCCACTGAGGGCCATTCGAGCTTGGCCATGGCCCAGGGAAGCGAGGGAGCTGGCCTGCAGCCCCAGGTGCCCGTAGCCCCAGGCACCTGTGGCCCCAGGCCTGGCAGCTAGGAATTGTAATGTATTGCTGGTTGGACTGAAAATGTATACAACCGCTTTGGAAAATAATTAGACATTGTCTTTGTAAAGATGAACATGCATATACTCTATAACTCAGCATATTGTATAAAAGACAGAGATAAATAATGCATTCCAATATTGTTCTTAAAAGGAAAAACTGGAATTAACACAAATGTTTATCTTTGGAGATTAGATAAAAATATTATGGTATATTCCTATAGCAGAATATTATATAGCAGTGAAAATAAATGGAATACCTCTATTCTTAAACATGGATAGATCTTAGAACTATAATTTTGAATGAAAAAATAAAGTTACAGAAGACTAAATTCATTATACAATTTAAGAAGCACTGGGATGATAAACACAGGATTCAAGATAGCAGTTACTTCTAAAGGGGGTGAAAGAAGGATGGTATCAGATCTGGGAACACACAAGAAGTAATTTTTTTCTAGTTTTTAGGTTGGGTAATAGGTTATTGATAACTAATTTTATTATTGGACTTTAAAACTTCCATCAGTATTACATATATTCTTTTTTTTATGTTTCAAGTATTACATAATAAGATAGGGAATAAGCTTTCCAGATCTGCCTCCAGAAGGCTAGACTATACCTGATCCAGGTGTCCTTATGACTAGAAAGACAAGGTAGAGCAAAAAATATAGGCTTGGAGCACAGGCAGATACCTGAAAAAAGGAGAAGCAGAGGGGCAGGAAGAAACTTTTGGACATGATGGATACACTCATCATCTTTGACTTACGTGATGGTTTCTCAGATGTATACTAATGTCAAAGCTCATCAAATTGTACACTTTAAACACACAATTATTGGACCAATTAAGCTATTAAAATCAAAATACAGGAAGAGGTCGAAGCCTAGCTCTTCTCCCATCTGAACAGTGAGCTAAGGCTGTCTTCCTTCCAGTGGAGGAGTGTGGGAATGCTGGAGCATTCCCTCATACTCTCCCAGCCCTATAGGCAGTTCCCTCCTCTCCTTGAAGGATATGGAGGTGTATTTTGTTTCTTCCTGCATAATAAAAATAATAACTTTTCCTCAAAAATGTTTGATGAATTGTTGGCCTCACACTGTTGAGTGAACTTGGTTTTTTACAGATCAGATACTGTATTACCTAAGTGAGTTACCTAGAGTCTGTTTCTCAGCAGTTAAAAATTTTAGGAGAAAATAAATGAATATTTATTTTTAACTTAAGCATCATTTTGATCTGACAACCTATATGACTTTAACAAATTCCCACATATTTGAAGTGAAGTTTTTCTGACATTGTTATCCTTGAACACTAGATGGTATGGTGAGACCCATCCCTCTGAATGAAGAACTGCACCAAAACAAGAAGTTGTGTCTTGGAAACCACTAAGGAGTCCCATCTAAACTGGAGTGAAGACTTCAAGAATTTTTCTTGTGCTTTTAAAAGTCAGCCTTGTTAACTCAGAAAATAAGTATGGATTTTGTAAATAGTTGAAAAAATTTTTAAGAAAGCTAATTTATTACTAGTGTATGATGTTAATGAGAATATTTTATTTGAGATATATTTGTTTTCCAGAATATAAAACTATGCTCTTTTATTATACTAAATGAGGTAGCAGTGATTTAATAATATCAATTTAATTGCCCAGAGGGGTTGATTTCTCCCTCTGTTTGCTTTATATTAGCCAGTTCACTGGAGGTCACATCTCCACAGAGAAATGCACACCTTTTAAGAAATATTCCTTTGGATTATGACGGTGACAATTAGTAAACTGCTCTAAGGATATAAATGACAACCTGACCATTTTTAAGAGTCTGTATGAATCACCAACAGTTCACATTTATACCCAAAGCTTTCTAATAACCAGAATTTATTTAAGATTGAATCATAAAAATAAAGTTGGTGGAACTGGTCTGTATTATTAAAAGTATTTTTTAAAAGGTTATTAATATTTCTTAAGTCTTTTGACATGTAGAAATCATAATGATTTGTTGGACTACGGTGTTGTATTACTGTTTTGGAGTACAATAGGAAAATATTATTCTGAAAGAGTATGACTATTTTATAGCACTGAGTCCTGAAATCACTGTCAATGAACCTTAAATTTGGTTTTGATCTTAACAGAGAAGAAATATTTAGTCTGGAATACTGAAACTAGCTTTTTAGAATTCTGTCCATAATGCTGCCCATTTTTTCCTCCATATATTTAACATAAAGTGTCTCATGCAAGGCCTTTTAGAAACATTTGCAAACCTTAAGCATACTGGAAGTAAACATTATGGTAGTTCAGTTACAGTCCAAACTGCTCTTTCAGAGTCCTTTTTTCCATGAGAAACTTGAAGAAAATTAATCCAAAGATAAGATTTCTGTTCACTTTCTTATGGTTAGAGAGGCAGTTGCAGTGGCTGATGGCCATCAGGCCTATAGCAGGCCATCCTGAGAAATGACTCCCCTGGCTACGGAGAGGTAATCAGGTTTGCCTCTGCTATTGTTGCTTCCTTTCCATGACATCACATGGCTTCACAAGACCTCTCAGAATTGTGCAGGACAATCCAAATGTTGACCAGATGCCCTGCTTGTACAGCAGGCTGCTTAGGTCCACTGGAAGTTTAAATTCATTATAGCAGACAGTGGAGAACCATCATAAACATTTTGACACAAGATGTGAGTTTGGAATAGCTAGGGAGGGGAGGTGAGGTCCCCTTAGAGATAATAAGTGGTTACAGTAAGCTCTTCTTTAATATGTACTCTTATCGATATGAAAACACTGAGATTTGCTTACATTCCCCCAATTGTGTTCATACATTAATTATACATACTTAAAATTTTTTCATTGATTTGTTTTTTACTAATATGTCAAGTCCATCAAGTATTTTTAAAAAGATTTTGTTTGTTTATTTTTTGAGAGAGGGCGAGAAGGGAGAAAGAGAGGGAGAGGAACATTGATGTGAGAAAGAAACATAGATTGGTTGTATTTCATAGGCCCCCAACTGAGGTCCTGGCCTGCAACCCACGCACGTGCCCTAGCTAGGAATCAAACTAGTGACCCTTTGGTTCACAGGCCAGCACTCAGTCTACTGAGCCACTCCAACTAGGACAAGTCCATCAAATATTTATCAGTAAGTATTTTGTATGACCCAAATGCTTGGAATAATCCCAGGTTTATGGATTTATGTGTTGGGTGTTTGGGGGCAGATATCAGAAAGGAGGAACATAAAAATGGAAAAAGCTATGTATGATTAGGAAATTGAAAATTGATATTTCCATAACACTATTAAAATGGTCAGGAGAATGCCATTTTTTCTTCTGTATAGCTGGTCAGATTTCAGAATTTATTGACAGTTTACTGTGTAGTACCAGAAGGAAAGCTCTCTGTGGTCAGGGACATATAAATATACATGGTCTGTCCATATAAATATACATGGTCTGTCCAGAAAGTATCCAGCCATGCACTATGAAATATAGAGGCATTTATTGAAGAGGATGCAAGAAACATTGTACATAAGACAGTGACACCTCAGTCCCCTTCAAAGTAGGCACCTTGGGACCTCACACAGCTCCCCCAATCGCTATCAGCTGCCCCTTGTATTTTCCCAAATCTCATCAACAATATGACATCTCTTCTTTTTCAAAGGGGATTTTCATTTTGGGAAAAGGCAGAAGTCACAGGGTGCCAAATCTGGGCAGCTGAGGGGCTGAATCCCCTGGGTGATTTGATGTTTCACCAAAAATCTCTGCACAAGACATGATGCATGAGCAGGCATATCGCCATGATGAAGCTGCCAATCACCAGTTACCCATAGCTGCGGCCTTCTGAATCATCCAAATACTTTCCATGGAGGGATGCTCAAACTTAACACAAAATTTGATGCAGATTCGTTGCTGTACTCGCTCAGTCATTTCAAATGTGATGGCCACACAATACACATGCTCAGTCAACAGTGTCTACCACTCCCTACTGATTAGTACAGTGAAGTCGTCATTGTTCACACATGCACATTCTAGTTCACTCCCCTTGGCTACCAGGTTACATCGATGTGCAAACCATTCTTGTTATATTAACAATGGCTGGACTTTTTCTAGACAGACCTCATATACAGAGGGACTTTTTTTTTTTTAAACTGCTGAATCCAGTGCCTGGCATGTAATAGGCATTCACTATTTGTTGACTGATAGAATGGCTGCTGGACTCTGGATAGACCTTGAAGATGAGATGTGTGAGAAATGCTCCCTGACCTCAAGAAGCTCACAGCCTAATGAAAGATACAAATATGTAATCAGATATGGGAATATGATTCTCAGAACGTGGTTCCTGGCCCAACAGCTTTGTGTCACCTGGGGACTTGTTGGAAATGCATATTCTTAGGGCTCATCCAGACCTTGAATCAGATACTGGGGATGGGACTTGGCAGTTTGTGTTCTTCACAGGTCCTCCACTTGATTCTGATGATCTTCAAGATTGAGAGCCACCCTGTGAATTTAACAGGAACAGTTGTGACTCAAAGGAGGACAAGCACAGAATCGGGGGAGTCATGGAGAAAGAGCCTTGTAGAAGTGGAGGTGCTTATGCTGGGTTCTGAAGGGGCCCAGAGGATTGCCAGCAAACAATGGAAATGAGAACTTCTGAGAGAATGTAATAGAGATAGGTGGTCATGCTGGGAAGCAGGAAAGGTCAGTGACTAGGAATGCATGCAAATATTGCTGAACTGTATCCAAGTCTCTGGTATAGCAATACTGACTCAGATCTAGTAATTCACAGTTAAGAGCTTTTATTCCTTAGCCTGAGAAATCAGAATTTGCATTTAAACAATAACACAATGTCTTCCTTTCAAAAATTGTGAGGATAATAATAAATTCATAATTTTTAAAGAACAACTCTACATTTGTTTACTACCAAGTGAAAGAATATGCTAACGTGAGGTGGGATAAACATGGGGCTGGGCCAGGCCTTGACTGTTATGTAGACTACACACAGATTTTTGTGTATTGCTTTCATTGTGTTACTGCTGAAGCTTTTCTTTTATCTGGCTTTTCTGTGGGTTTTTCTTCCTCAGTTTGAAAATATACCCTTTTTTCATAAATTTCCATTTTATGCATGAATAGTTCTGCTTTGGGATCTGCTACAACAATCTGCTTTGGACACACTTTAGAGCAATTGTCATTAAACACGAACTTTTTAAAGTTCTGGTTTTGTCAAGAGTGGCCACTTGGCATTTAGTTGAGGCTCTTACTATTGCTTTTAAGGATTACGCATCAGTTTAATACCTTTATTTCATGTGTAACATCCCTGAAGTCTTTCTTTTTTTTTCTATCATTTTCAATTATATCATATTTCAGACATAAAAAAGTATAAAGATATAACAAATAGGTACCCAATGTGAAGAATTAACATATACTGATCATTGGAGTCTTAATCATAGGTAATTTAGTTCTCTTTTGAGATCTAGATTAGGGCCTTATTTTGCATCTTTTCTACATTTGCTTCCAAGGGCACATCCTGGATTCCTGAAAGAAGGTCCATGCTTTCAGCAGGATCACTGTTTCAGAAGCCAACCAAAGAGCCCGTCAGGACCATTACCAAGAAAGCTGATTGTGCCTTCTTCTAGGATAGACTTTATATAGCCAATTGGTTTTATTTACTTTATTACCTTTGATTTGTCAAATTTCTTTTCTTCTTAGCCTATAATACTTTTCCTAATAGGAAAAGATCACCAGCTACTCTAACCTGGGGACACAGTTCTGGTTATATGGGCCAGTTCTTGAGGGTATTTTAACTTCCTTGTAGCTGAGAAGACTGGTCTCCTACCAGTTGTACAACATGGTGACAGAAGTGTCCTAATTTGAGTTATGGAGGACTGCCTCAGCCACCTAGGAAGGTGATTCTGAGTTATGGCTCACGCCACCTTTATAGTTTACTGACTCTGGAACTTAGGTCTCTGTTATTTCTGGCTAATACATAAATGTATGGTACCATTTTTCAACTCCTGAACACAGATGCCAAATTTGCTTTGGAGACGTTTTAAAAAAGAGGAAATTAAAAATTTCACTGTCAAATTTCATAAATTGAATTTTGAGAAGTTTAAAAAATTTGTTCAATAACAGTAAAAATATTTTTTTACATTCTTAAGTTGACAATATAACTTTACCTCCTAGCACAAATTTAAAGCTATTAAGTTATTCAAAATTCTACCTGAGGTGATGGACCAGAAAACCCTTTATTGGTATTCTAGAGTAGTTGCACTGTCTCTGCTAGAATTTTGTCTTTTGTTTTATAACACAAGAAAATCAACACAGATGAAGGTTTCTTAAACCTTGGCATTATGGTCATTTGGGGCCAGATAATTATTTGCTGTGTGGGGCTGTCCAGTGTATTGTAAGCCACTTAGGTGCATCCCTGGTCTCTACCCACTAGATGCCAGTAGCAACTCCCAACCCAGTATGACAACCAAAAATGTTTCCTAGGAGGCAAAGTCACCTCTGGCTGAGAGCCACTGATGTAGACCAAGTGAATATAAGTGTGTGTCTTACTACATGTGTCAACGCCATATCAGACCTAAGGGCTATTTCATCTAGTATAACCATGACAACTAAGGGTTTTTTTAATAGTCAAGTACCAAAGTTTGAGGATGACAAATTCTGCTGTATCATCTTCAAATGTCCTAAATTAGGCTTAAGGTGGACGTGTGAAAAGCAATTTGCAATCTCTCACTTCCCCAATTTTAATTTAGAGGGTAAAGGGAATAACCTATAACTTTTGCTTGGCTTTGTTTTTCATGTTACTGATACATATGAATAAGTTAGATCATTTTGTAAATATCCTCAACATGCAAATAATTTTTCTACCTGTTTTAAAGGAGTAATGGAAGATCTACAGTGTGGCTACACATACTTGGGCTACACAAATCAATCAAAAGTTCATTTGTGGAGTGCGGTTTGGTAACAGCTATATGTCATATGCAACCAGCCTGACTTGCTGTTCTCTGGAGCAGAGAATTAAATGTATGATATTTATCTCCCAGTACAGAAAAGTGAAATTCCTGCCACATGACCTTAAATGGCACATACACTATTGTTCATCTGGTAAGGATAGAACACATTGTTAAACATGATCCAATTTTATCATATTAGCATTTGACATGTATCTTAGTTTGATATTTTCAATGCAATTACCATTAACTATTAAAAATCCAGTGGGTCTATTTAATATTGTTTCAAATTTTTCTATTATTTAGACCAATTTATTGAATATCCTTCTCCTAAGTAAAACAAGCCTCATGCCAATTGAAAGTGAAGTCCATTGAAAATGGAACACCATGTGCATACTTTAATTTTAGAAGCTGATTAATAAAAATGTATTCACTGTGTTCAGTAAATATTTAAATA